CTCCTTGTCATGTGAGGTCTCACAGGAAAATACAAACCATCAATGAGTATGTCTTTAACTAGAAAGGACCTCGGGAACCATTAATTCTTCTGCTGGTAAGTCACTCAAGAATTTTGTGTAAAAGAAAGAAGCAGTAGGAGATAGATGTGCATGAACACACACACACACACACACTCTCACACACACACATGCACAGACAAGAGTCTTTACCAAGTATTCACATCTTGAGAGGGATCTCTGAGATCTATTATTTCCTATTAATATCTTTTACTTGGATGAAAGGAACAAAATTGTGCTCAAATAGATTGTTATTCATATTTTGGAAAAATATGACTAGGCTATGAATAATAGTGAGAAGGGAGGTGGTAATTAAGGTGCAAAGAATGGCCAATTTGACAAAACTGTGAGGATATAAAAAGGAATTTATCAATTGTATTATACATATATTAGTATGTATCATAATGTTTAGTCAACAATAGACAATGGTATTACTGGAAGGAAGAAGTACCATGGGTTAGTCAGCCGTGGGCAAACTAAGGCCCGCGGGCTGGATCCGGCCCGTTTGAAATGAATAAAACTATTGAAAAAAAAGACCGTACCCTTTTATGAAATGATGTTTACTTTGAATTTATATTAGTTCACACAAATACTCCATCCATGTTTTTGTTCCGGCCCTCCGGTCCAGTTTAAAACTCACTGTGGCCCTCGAGTCAAAAAGTTTGCCCACCCCTGGGTTAGATGGATGTTACTTAAATGTGTTTATATTTTATTATAATCTTAGGAAGAATAACAATTTTTAGCTGCTGTGGCTGACCAGCAGACCCTGAGTGACAGATGAATGATTACTCTGACACAGGATTGCTGTGAAAGAGAGGGCTAAGGGACTGCCTGGCTAAAGGAACCAGACAGCCTTGATAGCCTGCCTCTTCAGGCTTTTATTGTAACAGCAGTTTGAGATAAAGTTTATCTATTAGATACAATCAGTAGGGTAAGTAATCTTGGGAGGACACATGTATCTGCAGTGTCTTTTAAGCAAGGACACTTAAATATTAAGCATAAAGATTCTGGTAAACATCTGGGAGCTCAGACTTGTTTGGAAAAGTCAAGGCAGGGTCTGCTGCCTTTGGCAAGGTCCTCCTAGAGGCCCCCCACCTTTTAGAGATTCCTTCTTACAGACTTTTCAGCCAAGTCTCCTGTGCTCCCCCACATTTAGCACCATGTGAAATGGAATAAAATCAAGCTAGAAGGGTAGCAATTGCAGATGGGAGTATATGAAAGACAAAATAAAATACCTTCAGAATGCAAAGGAAATGAATAATCCCAAAGGGAGGGAGGAAGTCTTTGGGGGATGGGATACTATTTTCTCATAAGGCACAAACATCTGAATCCCCACATTTTTAGGATTGCAAGATAATTTTCAATTTCAGTCTTCATGTAGATGTATTTATCTCATAAGCTTGTATGAAAAATGGAAATACAAATATATTTACCTCAATAATACAAACATATTAGCACATCTTTATGCAAATGAGAAATCTGGTACAAGCACAATGCCTTCTGACAGTACTGATTTATTAGTTCTGTGAACAAAATATTAATAAAACCACATAATGTTAAGACACTGTGCTACACACTTGGGAAACCTAAATGAACGATGGAGGCCTAAATAAATGAATGGTCTTGAGCACAAATTTAAACAGAGTGGTTAGGGCAGAAATACACATTAGAAATTTGTCAAATTGCATTCAATAATTTGCATATCCATGCCAACTTTTATTTATAACATGAATATCCACAGTCAACATAAGATCATTAAATACTGAGAGCAAAAAGTAAGAACATCAGCAACCCCTGTACAAATAGGATAAAACACAGTAAAGTGAAATATGCTACAAGGGACCTAAAACACATTGATCAAATCCACTTCCCATAGCAGGTAATATAAAAATGAAAAATGCCTGATTGAGGTCCTTTCATATCCTGGATAATGTACTCATTTCTGCATGATTTTTAAAAAATCTTCATTTATCACACCTTGACATCTTTTCTCTGGAATCATTTTTTCTGTTACTTATACAGTCTTCATTTCTTTGTTCACACTTTTTCATAGAAAATTCTTTTTTCCTACTTATTTCTACTAAACCTATGTGTCAACAATTATAAAAAAATTGACAAATTAGTTAGTTTACCTCTTTTTACTTATGTAGACATCTTTGTGTAATTAAAATAAAGTATGTATGAAAAGTTTAATTTCACAATAAATTTTTCTTTATGGATTACTGTAATTGTAAATTTATACTGAATGGGTCTAGTAACTGCATGCATTCACCAGTCACCATGAGTTAACAAATGCATACAGCTGAGGCATGGCTTAGTTCACATTGGAATATCGGCTGGCATGTGTTAAAACTACTGCAGAAAGCCACTCCAAGTGCCAATAGAACCAATTACCACATGTAATATGGTGTGATCATGTGCTAATCATAGCTAAAATTAACAAGATGTTAATTTTCACATATGACACATGGGCCAGAAATTTTGTCTGTTAAATTCAAAATCCTTTAAATCAAGGTCTGCAAAATCAAAGGTTTACTGTACTGCATTTACTGATGCTGCCATCTTGATGTAAATTCTTGGCTTCAATTCCTTATTTGTAGAATTGGATTTCCTTTCAATCTTAAATAATAAATTATTTGGTCACATTGCACAAGAAAAATATTTTAAACTACTTCCATATATTATTATTTTTCTTATTGTCTCTAATATACAGGGGTGGGCAAAAATAGGTTTACAGATGTGAATGTAAAACTCAGAGCTTATTCTTATAAAGTTATATAAATGTTTTACTTTATTCTCATTCTCTACAACCACATCAGAAATACAACTATATAAAAGAAAAATAATCATTCTGATCCACATGAAATATAGCTTAACAGAAATCCTACCACTAAGAATATAAGGAAGCCACAAACATTGGTAAGAGGGGCAGAGACACTGCATAGGCTGGCCCCACATGCATGTGTGGCAGATAAAACTTCCCTAACTGGGTGAAGAAAATAGAATACAAATCCAGGAAGTGCAGAGAGTTCCAACTAAGATGAACCCAAAGAATCTCACACCAAGACACATCATAATTAAAATTCAAAAGGTTAAAGACATATGGATCTTAAAAACAGCACGAGAAAAGCAGTTACCTACCTATAATGAGCTCCCATAAGACTGTCAGCTGATTTCTCAACAGAAACTTCATGCCAAAAAGAAGGACAAGAAATATTTAGAGTGATGAAAAGCAAAGACTTGCAATCAAGATTAGTCTTCCCAGCAATGATATCATTTAGAATTGAAGGACATATAAACAACTTCCAGGAAAAGAAAGAGTTAAAAGAGTTCATCATCACCACCAAAGCAGTATTACATGACATGTTAAAGGGGAAGAAGGAAGAAGAAGAAGAAGGAGGAGGAGGAAGAAGAGGAGGCGGAGAAGGGAAGGGAAGGGAAGGGAAGGGAAGGGAAGGGAAGGGAAGGGATGGGAAGGGTAGAGAGAGGCTTCATCTAACGGGGAATCTGTATTCAGCAGTATCCAGTGAATATTATATGCAGTGGGCTGCTTCACCTGCCTCTCTTTGTGCAGATAAATAGGAGGAGGAGGAGAAGGAGAACAACAACAACAGCAGAAGCAACAACAACAACAAGAACAAGAAGGGGTTAAAAATATGAACAATAAAATGTCAATAAATACATATCTATCGACAATTGCATCCATCTCCCCTCAGAAAAAAAACCCCCACACCCACTAAATAGAGAAACAAGCAGAACAAACTAACTCAGAGGTATAAAGAACATTTTGTTGGTTATCAGACCAGAGGGGGATTGGGGAGTTTAGTAAAAAAGTTTGAAGTGATTAAGAAGTACTAATTGGTAGTAACAGAATAGTCATGGAGATGTAAAATACAGCACAAGGAATACAGTCAATAATATTTTCATTATGTATATATTTTATTAGATTGGTATAAGATTTATCAGGATAATAACAGTATTTTATATAAAGTCTAATCATTGGGGGCACTCCTGAAACTAATATTTAATATTGTATGGCAGCTATAATTGAAAAATAAAAAATATTTTAAAAAATAATACAAATAAAATTGAAAATATTAATATTTATATCAATTCTATAGGTATAAATAGAAACTCCCTCTCAAACATTTGATATAAGTTTATCTTTCCTTTATTTTTTTTTATTTTTTTATTACAAAGGGTATTACATATGTGTCCATTTTTCCCCCCCGCCCTAGACAGTCCCCTAGCCTCCCCTACCTTTCCTTTATTTTATACATTGTGAAAATATTCACACATGTTCATGCAATTAAGCAATAGTATCATTAATCATTAAGTATCATTCAACCAGGTTCAAAAGGTGTTAGTCTATGACCAATGACCATTTTCTTGTACACACACAATCTCACAATGCCTTACAATTTCTTTTTTTTAAATAAATTTTTATTTACTTTAAGAGAGATAGGAATGAAGAGGGGAAAAGAAATAGAAACATCTTTGAGAGAGAAACAGTGATTGGCTACCTCTTTCATGCCCCCTACTGGGAACGAACCCACAACCTGGATATGATTCCTGACCAGGAATCGAACCAGTGACAGCTTGGTAAAAAGGACAAGAGTCAACCAACTCAGCCACATGCACCATGATGCCTTAAAATTTCTTAAGGACAAATGCGTGAAGTATTCTGAGACATGTCTTGAGTCAAACACTAATCCATTTTAACACTTGTCTTTTTCTTCCTCCTCCACCTTGGCCTGCTCATAACCCCAAACACTGTCTCTACTCTGCTTTTTATTTTCTCTTCCAGTGTGCTACTATGCTGGTATGAGCCTGCCAGAGAACAGACTCAAAGTCAATGCTGAATGCCCAGCTCAGAGGGAACAGTGATGCTTCCTGCCTGTCCTATTTTGCTCTCACCAATGGCTGTGTATGGTGGCTCCATAATGGCTGTGAGTGAAGCCCTGGTGTGTGTCAGGAACACTCTCCTGTCACTCTGGCTGGCTGTAATTCTGTTCCTATATGGATGGTCCCAGGCTGTGCACTCCCGACCCCATGGTGCCCCAGAAGTGGTGATTCCCTTGAAGGTAGCAGGCTTTGGCATGAAGACTAGAGACTGGCTCTCTTACAGAATGCATTTTGGGGGCCAGAATCAGATAATCCACATGAAGGTCAACAGGCATTTTCTGTCCAGACACTTCCGAGTATTTACCTACACAGACCAGGGCGCTCTCCTTGAAGACCAGCCTTTTGTAAAGAATGACTGCTACTACCATGGTTATGTGGAGGGGGACCCAGAATCCCTGGTTGCCCTCAGTACCTGTTTGGAGGGTTTGCAATTTGGGGGGGTTGCAAGGAATATTACAGACAAATGACGTTGTTTACGAAATAGAGCCCAAGAGACTTTCTACCACATTTGAACATTTTATATATAAAGTGGACAGTGAGGAGACACAATTGCCACCCATGAGATGTGGAGTAACAGATGAAGAAATAGCAAGACAACTGAAGTTTCATGAGAGTGTTAATTTCACTTTGATGCAGAGCGGGTATGAAGGCTGGTGGACTCACAGGCGGCTTCTTGAACTGGCCGTGGTGGTGGACCACAATCGCTATCTTCATCACGAAAGCAACACCACAGCTGTGCAGTATGAAGTATGCTTTATTGTCAATGAAGTTGAATATTTTTTATATTCTCTAGATGTTGATGTTGTTTTAATGGGAATTGAGGTCTGGACTGAAAAAAACCCAATTAAAATGGGTTCGATAGGTAATGCCCTGGGCACATTTTGCAATTGGAAGCAAACTAGCTTTAATAAGCGCATTCCCCATGATGTTGCACATCTTTTGGTAAAGCATGGCTTTGGTATTTTTATTGGCCTAGCCTTTGTTGGAACAGTATGTAACTCTATTCGTAATTGTGCAGTAGAAAGTTTAATGGACAATAATTTGAGTGCTGTTGCACACACTGTTTCCCATGAGATTGGTCATAATTTTGGTATGAATCATGATGACAAAACTTGTACATGTGGACAAAAACAATGCATAATGTATCCAGTAAGATCAAAAGGAATTAGATTCAGCAACTGCAGCTATGCTAGCTTCATGAAAACTATTGCAAGGCAAAGCTGCATCTACGTTTCATCAAATGCAGGGAACATCTTCACACTTGCACAGTGTGGGAACAGTGTGGTTGAAGAAGGAGAAGAGTGGGGCTGTGGC